GTGCGGCTGGGAGCCAGCTTCTTAGTCTCATCGGAAAGAGGATTTCTCCGTGTTTTAATTGCTTGCGTCGGCTGGCTCCTCCGATTGAAAAATAACCACGCAAAAAGCAAATATTTGGGACGGTGGAAGGGCTCCGATTGGCCGCTTTCGCCATGTTGCATAGCTCGCCTCATCATTGGCCTGATGCTCTCTCCTGTATATTGTTGTCTGCTGCTTGTGCGTCGCGAGCTATGGTCGGGAGGACACCGCTGTTGAAAATTGCTACTTTCTGACATGTTCATGACTCGACAATCACTTATAATATAGTTAAGATTTAGTTGGGAGCTGTAAGTGGATGCTTGATCAAATTACTAAGGTGTGCCGCGCTCGTAGATCGTGCGGCACGCTATCAGAGCCATCTTTAGGCCTAACTCCGTTGACGGCGAGACGAAGCTCAAACTTTGGGGGCAAGAACAAAGCGCCGGCGCACATCGTTTGCTGTCTCCTCGGAACCTCAGATGGTTCATTAACGCATCGGCAGTGTACCCCAGCCAAGTGCGCCAGACCCTCCCCTTGCATTCAGTGCCAAGGATTGTTCGAAACAGTGGCTATACTACTAGCAGTTTAACGCGTCAACACACGAAATTGCGATACGAAGCACAGTGCGTGCAAATTTTTTATCATTGTAGCTACTCATTTCACGCTTCACCGAATGCTGCCGCCAAGCGCATCACGCGTCGGCTGCTCTATCCCCACGGCCACGCACTTTAGGGTCATATGGAGTGCTGTCAATAAGCTTTAGTGATGTGATTTAGACATGCTTGGAGCTGTGTTAGGTAACGTCGCAAGCGTCTGAGTGTTTTGAAACAATGAAAGCCTAGTATATTAGGGTTTCCCCGACCAGCCGTATGATGATTTGTTTCATGATAGATTGGTGAAACAGTATGTATGAAGCAGGGGTACGAATTTTTATCCACCCGACTTGCGTCAATAGATTAACTGTTAAAAAATTTCTGTGCCACCAGTGTTCTGCCCGTAACTGTTCGTTATTTGGAAACAAGGCATAGGCTGTCATGGTCAGAGTCGTTTTCTGATGCAATAAACCTTGCTCTATATAAAATTTTTTCAGTGAATATTTAAATCAAAAAGTACTTAAATTATGCTAATGACAACTTCACAAGGAAGATGTGTAATCATGTCAGTATATGGCCGTATTCGATTACAATTTTCGCTGTCATGCCTATCATACCACTCCTTCATACTGGCGCAGCATTAGCCTGAGTTGCTCTTGCGCCAATAAACCCAATATAACTAACTCCTTCATACAAAGAACTTGGTTTTTATTTTTTTTATTTACAAGTACCTTACAGGCTTTTCGGGGAGCATTGAGTAAGGGGAGCTTCACAAAAACAAATGGAAAAGATAGGATACATGAGTCTGAAAAGTGCAAGAGTAACATACTTGCGAGACGGTGAAACAAATTGAATTACATGGCTAAATAATACTAAGAATAGCACAAATTACTAACAGCACAATAATATCAAAACAACACTCGGGAAATGTAAAAATGAGCCACGAACTATTAACAGATTGATACTAAGAAAGCAATACTTGGAAAGTAATGCAAAAATACTACTGATTTTTGCAAAAAGAGCTGGCACGCAAGTCTTGTAAAAAATGTACATTACTTGTGCACTCATAGAAACAAGCAAACAAAGTAGAAAGGAATTCTTAGCACGGAGCTTCGCACATACTTCGCACAACAAAAAAAAAAGGAAGAAGTTTCCATGACGCGGTATCGGCTCGATGTATAATGTGATGATTGTGATTATTTCTTACGATGAATACTGTAGGGTCAAGAGTTGTCTTAATTTATCCTTATTTGCTTGCGCAACAGTGTCATTTGAAAACGAATTCCATAGGCAAATGGCTCGCGGTAAAGCCGAGAAATAAATGCGTGAGTATTTTCATAGATGCGATTGTAGCTTAAGTCGTTGTGAAGATGTCGTGATGTGCAGGACGCGCGTACCTTTGGTAAGTCTGATGCCTTTTTTTTTGGCAAACAAATCTATGGCCTAACGACAAGAGTGCCATGTCACAACGATTACTTAAAGCTTGAAGGGAAACGTTGAGTTTTATCTGCGTTACGCTTGACTGATAGTTGTAATCATGGGAAATTAGTTGACTAGCTCGATTTTGAACAGCTTCTAACAAGCGGATTAGGTATTCTTGATAGGGAGACCATATGGGAGACGCGAATTCAAGCTGCGGATGTACAGATGTTAGAAATGCGAGTTTGCGAATGTCAGGTGGGCAGTTACGCAAGTTGCGGCGTATATACCCGAGGAAGCGTGTGCACATATTTGGAAGCATGTGCACATATGGTTGTGATATGAAAGGTCCAGGAAAGGCTTGGTGTAAGATTAACGCCTAGATATTTGTACATTGATGCCTGATGCACTAAGTTTGTATTTATGTAATACGACAAGCTATGATTTAAACTTTTACACAAGAATGTCATTATTTTACATTTAGATGAGTTAAGTCTCATTTGCCAGGCATCACGCCATTCGGTAACGGGCTGAAGGTCATGCTGTAGAATGAGGTGATCATCAGAGCTCTCAATGGGTCGGTATTTTATGCAATCATAGGCAAATACACGCATGCAGAATGAAGTTTTACCAGGTAGATCATTAATTTTAATAAGAAAAGGCAAGGGTCCTAGCACACTGCTCTGTGGTACACCGGAGGTGACATATGTAAGGGATGACGTATGATCATTTACGATTGTGAATTGCTAACTGTTTGTTAGAAAGTTTCGGATCGAAGAGAGTGTGAAGCTGTGTAATTTAAGAACTGATAATTTCGAAATTAAGCGGCAAAGAGCTACGCGATGAAAGGCTTTGGAGAAATCGAGAAATAGGCAATCTGTCTGAAGGTTATGATCCATGTTAAAATGCATGTGTGTATTGACTTTGAGCAACTGAGTTTCACATAATAGCCCTTCCTAAAACCAGTGCTGATTAGCAAAGAAAAAATTATTGATCTCCAGATGGGTATATACTTGCGAAGCAATGACATGTTCAAGCATTTCGCAACAAATGCTTATCGAAGAAATCAGGACGGTAGTTTTCTGGGGAAATTTTACTACCACTTTTGTGTACTGGCACGACTTTTGCAATTTTCCAGTCTGGGGGAAACTGGCCTGAGGATAAAGACTGGCAAAAAATATGACTCAAGATTTCACTAGATATTTCGGCTGTATTTTTTAAAATTTTGGAGTTAATATTATCAGGACCCGATGAACTCGACAGCTTAAGTTTGGTAATGAGACCTGTGATACCTTCTTCTGTCAAGTCGATAGGTTTCATGTGCTGATAATCTAGATCTGTGACTTGCGGAATGTTTGAATGGTCTTATATGTTGAATATAGATGAAAAGAACGTATTGAAGGCATCTGCGCAGTCTTTGTCATTTAGAGGAACCTTATTTTTGTCGCATAAGGATATGTGATGTGCGCCGTTATTTGGCGAGATCACCTGCCGAAACGTTTAAGGGTTGTATTTGAGTAGTGATAGTAAATCAGGCGTGTAGTATTTATCCTCAGCATCTGCTAAAGCTGAACAATATTCTTTCAAGAACAGGCTATACCTATCCAATGCCACGGGCGAGTTTGTACGCTTTGCATTTGCGTATAGTCTTTTCTTTTTATTTCTTAACCTTCGAAGGTTTTTGGTAAACCGAGGGTTACGCTTGTCGCCCGATATCCTGATTAGTGGGATATGCTTTTTCACTTACGTACACAGCTTTTCTTTAAACAGAAGCCAGTTTTCTTGTACTGAACGAGCCGAGAATGAAGATAAAAGGGTGCTAGAAAGAAAAATTTCGAGTTCTTCATTGATTTTGTCATAGTATCTTTTGTTGTAGTCATGGATAGTTTTGTTTAAGACGCCAATAAATTGCAAGGGAATATTAAGAGTAAGTTGTAGCAGCTTGTGGTCACTGAAGCCATCTAAGCAGACAATTTCGTCAACCGTTTCGGGGGCGTTGGTAAAGACTAGATCTAAAATGTTTGTTCCGCGACTAGGTTCTGTAATCATTTGGAACAAACTTAAGTCTAAAGCTAATGAAATCTATACTTGTTCTTTGTAAGCCAAACAGGAGGTTATTTATTTATTTATTTATTTGAGAAACGGGTTAACAAAGGCACACTGGGCGAAGGCCACATGTCCGAGAAGTCAAATATTATAAGGCAAACCAAACATCACAATTTTTATGTGTTTTAGAGACGTAAAGTCAATGTGAAACTGTACACGCAATTTTCTCAATACTGTTTTTTTGGCATTATGCTTAGCTCGAGATATCTTGGCAACCACTTCAGAGATTTCGATTGTTTTTCACCGCTCCTGGAACTGTGCTTCAGGGGGCTGCGATCTTATTGTTCATTTTGAAAAATAATTTTTTGTAGGGCTTCTGGCTTGTAGTGCAAGTGTCCACATTGTAGCATCGCTGGAGAAAGCATTAACAAGTTTCAGTGTTGCAAAAAAAATTTTTGGAAAGGCAGCCCCCTTGAGCTTACGTTTAGCTGTGTGTGCAGTAATTGCCAACTATTTGTCATTTTATAAATACTCCAGCCTCTCCACGAGGTTCAATGAAGAAATAATTTGTCTCTCCATGTTTTTTGTGGTATTGCCTCTAAATTTTTATGGAAGCACTTTGAGGCCATGCTTAGTGTCTGTGCCAATTTTCATCAAGATCCAACCAGAAAAAAAGAGCAGGTTCCCAAAGACACGTTCCCCTTTGTGTGATGGGAACCTTTTACAGAATTGCTAAAAGACAGCAAAGAATCAAATACTATGTCTCTGTTTAAATACAAAAGGCCACATGAAGTTTTGCTGCCTGAAAAGTAAGCAGTAGTAGCTACAAGCTTCACCTGTATAATATAGACGTTGTGATATCTCTCATTTTCCTTCTTGTGATAATACAGACCTCATTATGCCACAAGTATTATTGTTATGCAGGTACTTGTACACGTTGAACACTCCTCTGGGCTACCGTGGATTTCAAGTGGCCGACCAAACCCTGGAGGTGATCATGCAGGATTTGGATCAGAAGGTAATGCGCATCTTCACCCAGGAGGGCGCCTCCAGTGCCAGGGATGCGACCCAGAAGTCTGGCATTGACCAGCTCTACCCAATGGCCACCCTGGACGAGTATCTGTTCACACCTTGTGGGTACTCGGTCAACGGCATCCTCAAGGGGGTAAGCTGAAAAATTGTTAAACTGGTTACTTTTGCCTTTTTGTACTAGCGCCGTCCATTCCTAGCCCAAAGCTTTTTGTTGAACCTAGTTAAAAGATGTAGGAATGCACTTCTTGGGGTGATGCAGTTGAACCCCTTTATAAGAGACATGCATGGGGAAGGAATTCTTGTTTTTTATAAGCAAGGTACCACATCTGCATTTTCGTATCAATCCCTGTTCTTGTGTTGGTCCACTGGTGTCTCTTATAGCCATTTGTCGCTTCAATCAGTCTTTTGTAAAGGGGTTTGACAGTACGTTGTGAAAACTTGTGGTACACTAAAAAGACAGGGACAAAGAAAGTGACGACAGGCAATGCACTTTCTTTCAAAAGGATGTTGATTAAACAGAGGTGAAACATACACATTGACTGGTGTGTGTGGACGCTAAGAGATCCAGCTGGTTTGACCGAGCAAATCAAATGGTGAAAATTTCTGGTGAGAAATTCTGACCAGCCCACATTGAAGTGGTGGAAATTGAAAATAGAGAAGCAGTTTGTTGGCCACTATTCTGTTCATCAGAAAATGAAATGCTATTCTTGTCTAGTCAGCTGCCTAGTTTATTCGTAGGGTCGATTAGATTATGTGCTCCCCTCAATTTTCTTCCCTGTGCCCTTTTATGGCTGTCCCTGGTCTGGCAACCCACTCCACATTTCTATGGAAGGTGTTTCGACGGATGCAGTTGTAGTCAGTTTTATCGTTCTTGCATGCTGAATTTCATCTCAAACGGACCAGTATTGGTAGAAAATAAGTCTGTGAGATGTTCTGAAATATTTTTATCAGTTCTGGAACAATTATGATAATATGCGACGGTGCGAATTTGTGGCAAGTGGTTGGTGTCGTATGTTTTCCGCACTCTTTCTGTTGGAAAAACAAAAAAATATTTCGACTCGTTCAAGCAAGTAATCAAGTGCTGGCACCGTTTGAAGATACAATGAACTTTTCGGGACTGTAATATTTAAGTTTGTTTTTATACTCGCGCTTTTTTTATGGTGTTGTCGCGATTACCACCTGGACATGTGATTGGGTGGGAGCGCACAGTTGCGATTTCTTGGCGATGACAGCAATAGTGTGTTGCCCACGATCTGTTTATTTTTTGTGCGACCTTTAATGAACCCTTATTACTCGCTGGTTTATTGCCCACCTGTGTGGACGAAATTAGAACTGGTGGGGCTGGAATGCAAAAAAGCGTTGATGAAGCTTATATGCCAACAACGCTTTTTTTTAGAGTCGTGGCATTTGATTGGATTACAATGGTGATAAAAGGACGATAGTTTTCTCTGCCGATGAGGCACCAAGCGCACCTGGCAGGCTCAGGTCTAAGATTAGCCTAAGAGTAATCTTTTGTATATTTTTGTAACAATAATTTTGTCTACCACTTGTACGGCTTTTGCAAAATCTTGGTCGTCATTCACAAAGCCAAGAGAAATTTACAGTTATAGAAACGATAGACAATTGCAACAACGTGGTTTAATTTTGTTTTGTTCTTAGAAGAGAATTTTCTATGTTGTATATGATCGCACGATTTGTCAGACACAATTCTTGATCACACCCAAAATTTTCTTCCTGAGGCATTTATTCTAAACACGAAGTGACAGACCCCCCCCCCCCCCTTTTTTTCACGCTTAGGCATTCATATTGCACTGCGTGCACAATACATCCCGCCATCTTACGTACCGTAAAAGCTCACATATAGCTCAGACCCGCATATACAGTAAAACCCCGTTAATATGGACTTCGCGGGACCGGAGAGAATGTTTGAATTAATTGAGAGTACGAATTGTTGTATGAACGAAATTTTTGAGAAATGTCTCCTTCACCATCAGACTTTTATTTCTTAAAAAAAGTCTGTGATCGCAGTTTGCTTCACAGAGGCAGTGTGCGGCAAAGTCACAATTTTGCGAAGTTCCTCCAGGTGGCTTAGTCCGCGCACACTGTTCAAGGAAAGCATGCATATGTCCTCCAAAACGGCCAACGCATGACGTGGACGCTCGTCAGCATCACTTACGTGCTCCTCAGCCGATTCCCCTTCGCCATTCAAGACTTCGGCGATGATATCGCTGTCTGTCGCTGTGCTGGCCACGGCAACATCGCTGTCAATTGCGAAGTAGTCGCCCAGGGGACATCAGCTGGCATGATGCTCACATAGCAACAGTCTTGCTTTCCGCCGGTTTCTTCATCTGCCACCACACCCTTAAGCAGCATCATGCGCGAAGCCGCTATGCTTTAAGCAGTTGGCGACTACTGCAGACGGTGTGTTGTTCCACAGGTATGTCGGCATGTGGATTGCACTTAGCAGGCTTACTTCATACTACTTGCCTGACTCTATGCAGAACATCTGCTCGAGTACCGAGATGTACTACCCATGGACGAAGTTTTGAATCTCGGAGGCCGCAATCCGATCCCAAAGTTGTTTAGGCGCGCCATCGATTTAGCCGACAGAATCCGCGGCTGCTTCCCCGTCGTGGCTCGACCGCGGTCGGGCCAGACGCCGTGGCCGAATTAACTGAAATTCTGAATTAACGTGGTCAAATTAACGAGATTTTACTGTAGTCTGGGGTGTCATTTGGGGATAGCAAAAGCGAGAAACAAAGTTTTCACCCAAATATAGCCAGAGTAAAACGGAAAAATGCGTTTATTCACACACTTCATTCATCGTCCTCGTTAGACGCACTCTCTTCCGAAGCTCCCTTGTTGGAAATGTTCTCCCACTGCATATCATCCTCAATGCCATCAAGCGCGTTTAAGATGGAGCACTTCTTGAACACGCGGCAAACGAGCGCCTTGGGCATGCAGACCCAAGCCTAGACTATCCACGAGCACAGCGTTGCTGGCGAGGCCCGTTTCAGCCGTCTGGTAGGGGTCACATCTGGTTCTCCGGACCTCGTCCGCTCCATGTACAGGCAGTTGACATGGTCCTTAAATGGCTTATTAAGGCACACATTAAGTGGCTGCAGCTGTGGAATGACGACGACCTCGGTGCAGGGGTCGCGCAGTAGTCTCTTTACGGAGTAGGTCCAGGTGACACCGAAACTCGCTGAGCACAAGCATCGAAGAGAGCCCTCAGCAGTGCTCTGGGCCGTCAAGACCACACGGACTTTATCAGTCATGCTGCCCGGTAAACGGAAAGTCTTGCACTGATAGCAGCAAACGGGGCGTCGGCAGTCGATTAACTGACAAGTGGCGAAGCACGTCGGCATTTATACACTTATCATTGAATGTTATAGCGGCGACGTAGGTTCCAGAATAATCCAAAATATTCATGAAGTGGCCGTAATCTCAACAAAACAATCTACTACAGCCTCGAAGCTTTTCAAACATTGTAGGCACGATTTGCGCTGAACGTAGTGTAATGGGGTGATAACAAAACTTGAGGAAAGGAACATGGCAATATGTTCACAAATCTGCACCACGTTAAACATTCAATCCTGTGCAGCCGCGACGGCGCTACTAGCTAGTGGCCTATTATTGCGGCAAATCCACCAGGCAGGCTCGTTACATACGATCTCAAAGTACTGTGGAGTTCATATGTCAATTCTAGTTCGCGATGTTTTCTGTAGCACACAGAGGATTACGCAAGGCATCGTTGGTGCAGGGTCAATCACCTGACAGCGCAACCCTTTTCACTGCGACGAAAAATGAGGTAGCGAACATTTAGCAGTTCCTGTCATCTAGGAAAGTACTTTGGTCCGATATACATTCACTTGACGATCAAGGATTCATCTGGTGAAAGTGGTACAAGGCGTACTTCTGGGCATCCTATTTTTTCCTATGAGAGTACACAAGTTGACCCTTCTCTTGCAGCCATCTTAGATTTCACGGCGTGCCACTATAGCCTTTGAGCATTGCAAATAAGAACCTACAGTCGCTGACGGATTTTTAGAGCTCCAAAAATTCTGACTTCTTGAATATTTTTAACTTCACAAATGCATCGTCCAAGTTCCCATTGCACTAATACTATTTCGTGACTGATTTTTCGGACAAATTTATGTTCCAAAGTTAAATTTTTTAGACTAAATCATTTGTATTGAGCTATGCCGCTCGATTTTGAAAGCTGCCATGTTGGATTTTTTGTTGGCTTGGTCAAGTTTTGTTTGCAGTGGCTAGTTGTGTCGCATTCAAATTGGAAGCACGCACTATGTTCCAGTTTCAGAGGCCATGTTGGATCTTCTTTGGTTAGAAAAACGGCAGAACTTTGGTTTTTCAGTAAAGTCAGCCTTATCATAATCTGTAATACTCCAGTAGGATTTTATTTTCTGGGCGTCTGTTTTTCTGATGTAATCGCACATATCATTGTGTTATTGGTGTGTGCAGTGTGTTTGAGCTGTCATGCACGTCACATGCTTGCTGCTGTTCGCGATTGCTCTGAAGCACTCCAGTGGTCACGGTGCTCAGCTACTTACATGGAACATGTGGGGTCGATCGCGGCCACGATGGTAGCGTTTTGATGGTCGCGAAATGCTGGAGGCTCACGTACTGTGCGGTGTCGGTGCAGGTAAAAGAAGCCTAGATCGTGGTATTAAATGCCAAAAAGGAGGTGAAATGTTGCATGCGCCTTTTTACGACCAGCGTCAAGTTTTGTTTGCTTGGTTTCCTGGCGACCCCAACTTTGCCGCTCGCAACGATTCGTGGCAGTGATTGCCAAGGCGCTTGCCAACTACAGTGAAACTTCGATTGTGCGACCCCTGGTTTCACGACAACCCGCATTTTATGACAAATTGGTTTGGTCTCATCAAAATACCCATAAAAATTTATCTATTAAAAGCCTTCGTTCTACGACGCAGGTTTACACTGACGCCGTATCTTACGACTTTCATATTCCGTCAGAAAGAGAAAGCCACCTTTACTCGAATTGAAGTCGACCAAATATTCACAAGTGCTAATTATGAACTCGCGTTACCCTAGGTTGACGATTAGAAAAGTAGAGTGTGAAACAGGATGTCTTCTTAGAATGGAAACTTTATTCTCCTAGAAGTTCATGTGCGTCTACACACAAGCCTTGATCGCGTGTGTATGTATCTGGGGTCGTTACATAGTCACGCTCAATCCACACATAGTAGCTTTAGCTGGCCAAAAAGTTGATAGTGTTTTCACGTTTTCGATCTATGGAAACTTCACCTGGTCTACATATAGCTGATCTCCTTGCCTTTGTCGCACTCGCAGTCACAAGCTTGTGCATGCGTAAGGGTGCGACGCAGCTGTTTTCACCTTGAAAAAGTACTTTCACTTGAGGTACATTCTCAATAAGAGTGGGGTGCTACTAGTTGCACTTCACAAGGCAACAAATCACAACGCCCAAAGCTCAGTCAAGCACAAAGGCATTCTCGTGGTCCGTCGCCATTTTGTAATAGCGATCAAACGGTGTCCGACTCTTCTGATAGGTGGTGTTTGGCAACAAGATTTTGTTTTCGTTATCACGCGCTGGCAATATTTGAACTTCATTTATCAATAGAAAGATGTGCGTTAGATTCGATTTTTTTTTAACTATGAGAATAAAGACTCGCTCGCACCTCCTCCAACTGTGTAATCTGCCACTGGCAAAAATAATTTTACCTGCTTTACTTGCAGAGGCACAAGGTCATGTCGTGGGATTATTCAGGCTGTCTGTACCAATTTTTCAGGGCAAGGCTGAGTGCCATTTTCTTTAATCTTAGTTTTTCGGTTATACAACGCCCGGATTATGCGACGGTATTGCATGATCCCTTGAAAGTAGCGTTATTGGGATTTCACTGCATGTTACTGAGCCCAAATGAAACCAAATTTGCTTGTTTTAAGAACAACATGAAGCTTGTCATTATTGAGGATTTTTTTAGGCTCTCCTTTTCCAAATAAACTTCATTTTCACGATTTAACCCTTTTTTTAGACTGTTCGATTTTTGGGAATATCTTGCGGTCCCCGCTAGTCCAGAAAATCGGTCAGCGACTGTATAGGCACCTCGTCGATGGCTTATTGATGGTTGAAAGTCGTTTGCCGGGAAGTTGCCGAAGCACAGACTTCATTCGCTGTAACCGATTGGCGGCGCTCAGAGACATTCATTGTAAGTGCGATTTTCTGACATTGAAATGTGTATTTCCACGGTCACGCGGTATCATTTGTGTTAAGAGAAAGTTTTAAGAGAAAGTTTGGGCTGTCATGTGTGGGCTGGACAGACAGCACATACAAGCCAGCTTTCATGGCATGATTCATACGGCAACGAGAGCACATCACACCTATAAAGGGAGCATAAAGATGATTTTTTTTAAGCAATTGACTCCCGTAACAAGCAGCAAAATATGTGTCAGTCATGTGCGTGGGGGCTGACGTGCAGAAATTTTACTTTCATTGGATTAAGTTGGTGTCCACAGTTTCTTTCAAAAATTATTTTGTTCTTTAATGAAGAGTTTAAGTAAGCCAAACAAAAGAAGGCCCTTTCATTTCTGATGCTACAATTGACGGGTTATATTTATTGTTTTTTTTTTGCAGGGTTATTACTTCACGATCCACATCACCCCTGAGCCAGACTACTCCTATGTGAGCTTTGAGACCAATGCTCCACAGGTGAGTTTTATAGATAGCACCAGGCATAAAAAATTGGGCTATAGAGCTTTCTTAAAATATCTGTCTTACTGATTGAAGTGCAGTAATCTCATTAAATGGAACTTGAAGGGACCAGGAGAATGTCCCGTTTAACAGGAGTTCCGTTTACTAAGAGGGTGTGGGTTAACAAGGGTGGAGAAACTAAAAATGGTAAAAATCATGCTGGGGGAAGTTGTTCATTTAGGCAGCAGTTTTGTTTAGGAGGGTTATGTTTACTGAGAATCCTACCTGCTCACATGGGTTGGTAACATAGGTCGGCAATGTAATCGAAGCTCATTCACTCGCTCAAAAATATATTTTGCTTCGAGGACTTACTCGGAGTCGGACTCGCCAAAATTTTCCTCAACCATACTCGCTCAGAGGAGGTGGAAAGAACTTTATTTAGACTCCGAGTTGGTGGGTTGGGTCAATGGTCCTGCTTAGGTTACGGCCAGGAGTCCTTGAATCCTGGCAGCTTGCTGGGCCCGCTGGATGGCCCTCATCTAATCTTCGAGGACAGGGCTAAGCATTGCGGCTTCCCAGCGCGCGCAAAGGCTGTCACCCGAGGCCGCATACTTGTTATGGGCCTCGACAGCATAGCATATCTTGTATCATAACTTGAATCTACTCGAGGAAACAGACATTCAGCGTATGTTCTATTTCTTGACATGCAGCGAACGATTGACTCTGTACCACATAAGGCGATTATTTGTGCTTTGATGAATGGAAGAATTTCAGGTTGTCTGTTACACTTTCTCTGCGATTTTCTATCTGAGCGCAGAATGAAAGTGCGCATTGGAGAAGTACAGAGTAAACCTCGCGCTGTCAAATGTGACGTCCCGCAAGGCGGCGTCTTGTCACTGCTTCTCTTTAACAGTGTACTGGCTGGACTTCCAGGCAGATTACCGCGAGATTGTGGCTTTCTTATAGGCATAGCGATTTATGCCGATGACATCGCACTTTGGGTCAGTGGTCCGTCGCACCATGGTTCACATCTTCGTGGTATATTGCAGTGAGCTTTGAAGGCAACTTCAGAATGCTTGGTGAAAGTTGGCATGCAGGTTTCACCTGTGAAGTCAGCTGCGACCGTGTATAATCCAAGGCAACGTGCTCGTCGAAGCCTTAGCAGGCTTTACCTCGGAGACGCACAGATACAGTGGGTATACCAACATCGCTACCTGGATATAATCATCAATGATCGCCTTTATTGGCCCCCTGCTGTTAACACTGCGAGGTGAAAATCGCTGTCCTTGTTCAAGTATGTAGCCGCCTTGACTGCTAGTGGTGATGGCATTGATCAGAAGACAGCACTACTGGTTTACCAATTAGCTGTACTTTCTTGGGTGATGTATGCCTTGCCAGTCTTGAATATACCGCATGCTTTAATGTCTCGGCTGAAACGGGATCATCGTGTTGCCCTCCGAGTACTGTTTGGCTTACCTCGTGAAGCACAATCCATCCCACTACTGTCTGAAGCACACCAGTTGCCGCTAAGGCTGCAAGCTGACTAGAGCGCGCTACATTATATTGTCGCAGTAAAAGCGAACAAAGCACAAGTACGCCTTGAGGCAGCGAAAGCAGCGTGTTTTCAACAGCTGAGCCGCAAGATTGTCTTCTTTGTTCTAAAGTCAAGCCAGAGGCCCACTACCTGGTGTCCGCTAAGTCCCCACATCATCGTTGTTGTTCACACGCAGACACGGGTCATTTGCCTCCCTCTCAAAGAGCATCGACCCCATGTGAAGTCAATAATGCACTTTTTTTTAAGTCTCACGCAATGACTCGCTGACATAAGGCTTCATGCGCACTACGTGAACGAGATCAGGATGGTGCTGGAGACGCTTGGTACTGCACGAACTGTCGGGAACAACTTCGTAAGTAACCTCACTCAGTTGTCGCAGCACTCGGTATGGCCCATAGTATCCTCTTAAAAGCTTTTGGGAAAGTCCTAGTTTCTGTATGGGTGTCCAAACCCATACTTTGTCGCCAGTTTGATAGACGACTGTTCTGCGGTGAGCATTGTAACGGCGTGCATCGTACTCTTGCTGCTGGTGGATCCGTAAACGTGCAAGTTGCCTAGCTTCCCATTCAGCTACCCGATTTAGCTTCCTGTAGTCCACGCAAAAACGCAGCGTGCCGTCCTTTTTCTTTACTAGCACTACAGGCGATGCCCAGGGGCTCTGTGACGGTTGAATTACATCATCTTCAAGCATTTTCGTGGCTTGTTGTTGTATGGCTTCGCGTTTCTTTAAAGCTACACGATAAGGGTTCTGGTGAATAGGTCTCGCCGTGTCCTCCGTGATTATTCGATGCTTTGTCAAAGGTATTTGACCAACTCGTGAGGTCGGTGAAAAGCAGTCGCGGAATTCGGCTAGCAGCTGAAGAAGTCTCTGTCGGTCATCCTTTGATAGAGTGGGGCCAACGTCGAGAACGTGTTCTGGTTCTTGATTAGGCGCTTCATCTAATACCGATAAGCATAAACTGCCTCACATTACTACGATATTGTCGTACAAAGCGATAGCTGTGCCTTTCGGAAGGTGCCGGCGCTCAGTACTGAAGGCGGTCAAAAGTAAATTCGTGCGCCCACCAGTGAGACGGACGATACCTCGTGCGACCGAAATGCCATGGCTAAATAGCAGCAAGCCAATTTGGTCGGCAATGCCTTCGCCATCAAACGCTTCGTGCCCTTCCACCGAAACAAAAGTGCATGACCGTGGCGGGCACCATCAATTATACGTAAAGTGTTATGTATTGCATCTGAACAGTCAACTAAACCAGGGCTGTTGCAGAACGTAATTGAACGGTCCGGGATGCTGATGACGGTACCATATTCTCTTAAAAAATCCATCCCTATGATCAGGTCTTTGCAACATGAGGTGAGGATGACAAACGTCGCCACAAAAGAAAAGCCGCAGATGCCGAATCTTGCTGTACACCTTCCGACAGGCATCAACAGCTGGCCACCTGCTGTCCTTGAGGCGCACGGCAAGGTTTTCACTTATGATAGAAAAGTCGGCACGGGTGTCAACTAAGGCTGTTACTTGCTGTCCATCTACAAAAACGGTAAGATCTGTGGTCACAGTTTCATCAACGTTACTAGTCGGCTTTACGGCGTCCTGTTGTTAGAGTAACGGGGGCCTTTTTTTGCCGTCTTGGCGGCTTGCAACCTCACCCCTGGAGGTCGCCGCCTTCAGTTCAGCGTATGAACCGAGCCACAGATGTCAAGAAACTCCTTTACAGGCTGTTACAGCGCCCGCTTTTTTGGATGGGTAAAATGGCGGCATTGTTCAATGGCATTACAGGCAATTCCGGCGAAATGATTCAGTTGCCAACATCGGCAGAGCACAGGCCTATGCCTTCCCTACCCATCTGACAATGCCAGGAATACGCAAAAAGTGTGTCCAACCTGTTTTGGAACTATATCTATTAGCCCATTCACACTTATTTAAAAACTTCGAAGACTATGCAAAAGTATTTACGGACGCTTCTGTTTGCAGCGATGGCCTGAGCACACCTGTAGCTTTCTTCTGCCCAACAACCGCTTTAAAATACCGCACCCCTCATCGTCTGTGACGGGCGAGCTAGCAGCGATTGATGTCGCCCTTAAGTACGTACAAGAAGGGTTACCAGCATCGAAGGTTGTCATTCTCACCGACTCTTGTGGTGCCCTTAGCAGACTCACCAGCAAGGAGACAGACAGCCCTGTCCGAAGCAGCATCATGGAATCCACCAACAATGATCTGTCACATGGGGTATGCCTAGCTGCACAGTGGGTACCTTCGCACGTGGGTATTGCTGGTAATGAAGAAGGGGATCGCCTTGCTTCGTCACGCAACCATGATGACTGTGGCTGTCCGGGAATCCTATGTACGATGGACAACGCTCGTCTGCTTATACACCGACACCTCCTAAAGCAGCACCCAGACCAGCGTGTGGCGAATGGATCATTCTCTCCTCGTGTTTCGTGGCCGTGGCTGGCCTCGTCGTTTCCGAGCGCTGTTGTACAAACTAAGAGTGGGCTCGGTGCTGGAGCGTAAACGATTACAGTGTCAAGGGCGTGTGGACAGTTCGTCGGGCACAGCTTGTGGCTCCTGCAAAACACTTGAGTATCTCATAGGGCACTGTCCCACATTGGCTACGCAGCGGTTTTTACTGATTAAGAAATATATATTCCTAGAACTTGAGTGCGCGACCCTAGACGACTAACTCTTTCTGAGCGGTTGTGCTTTTCGACGCGACCAGGCCCATCAAGCTCTCCTTACATTTATGAAACAAATGAACCTGTCCACCCAGTTATATAGATGTTTTTTCAATTATTTTTGATTTATTTTTTTACTCATAATCGTCAGTCTTTGTCATTTTTTTTTCTTCCTCCTATTTTTTCTTCTTTCTCTCCTCTAATCTTTCTTTCCTTTGTTTCCTCCTTCCTCCCAAAAGAGTGAGCAGGCATTGTGCCCCTTCAAGTGGCAGTTGCCAGCTTGCTCTCTCCCTCTTTCCTCAGTGTCCTTGTGTATCTGTGTATGCAAATTAAATAAATGAATAATCTGTCTACATTCCAATAACATATGCTCCAAAGTGGCTCTGGAGTCGCAACACTTGCACCTGTCCGTTTTGTATACCGTACTTACTCGCATAATCCTCGCACTTTTTTTGCTGGGAAACTGATGCAAAGTTGGTGGTTGCGAGAATTACACGGGGAAAACTTTGCACGAAAACGTACAGAGCGAAAAAGAAAATGAAGTGGCGGTATATCGTGATTCTCACAGCAGCAACTCACAGCAAGCTTTAAGAAGTACTAATTAGAACTTACCTCAATAATAAAAGCAGAGGTTCAACACAAGGCAAGATTCATTTGAGACACAAAAAAGTGCGATAATTAGTCGAGAATTAGACTACCATACGCAAAGCATGTGGGCGTTGCGTGCGTAGTGGTAGCGTTAGTCGCTCAACAGGAGCCCTGAAAAAGTAAGCATAGGACGTCAGTA